CATAGACTTAGCATTACCCATAGACTTATCATTGCCATAGACTTAGCATTACCCATGTTATCTCTATGCCACAGACTTAGCATTACCCATGTTAACCTTATGTCATAGACTTAGCATTACCCATAGACTTATCATTGCCATAGACTTAGCATTATCCATGTTATCGCTATGTCATAGACTTAGCATTACTCATAGACTTATCATTGCCATAGACTTAGCATTACCCATGTTATTCCTATGCCATAGACTTAGCATTACCCATGTTATCCCTATGTCATAGATTTAGCATTACCAACGTTATTCCTATGCCATAGACTTAAGTTGTAATTTCATAGAAACCCATGTTAAAGCCTCCCCATGTTAATCCTATGAGAGCTTTCCCATGTTAATCCTATGCCATAGACTTAAGCTGTAATCCCATGTTTAAGAAGTTAAGTGGTTTTAAAACAACAAATTATATTAACATAATAAATGTGAAAAACAATTTCATTTCAATCAAAAATATTTTTAATTATAAAATATAAGATACTTAAATACACATTAATTTGAAATAAATTATAAGTAGTGTTGGTATTTAAATGTTCAAACATGCAAATTATTAAACATGAAATTAATAAATTAGTAAAATAATAATTAAGAAAATAGTGTATTTTTAAACATAAATTGTTTTAATTCATTGATAAATTATTTTAAAAATTAAAAACATTTTTAATATAGTATTCTATTTATTTTTATGTATATAAGATAATGTAATTATTATATTAAACATGTTAATTAATGTTTAGTGTAATTAATATAACTGAATATCAAATGAAAATAAATCAAAATCCTATTGTCCTGGATTCCTGGACATTTTACTAATTTTAACTATATTATCCTGGACGCCTCCATAGACATAATGTTTAAACTATTTTTAAAATTATGGACAAGCCATCTAATTCCGGGACAATCCAGGCCATTTCTGGACATCTGGTCAGTCTAGTGTCGGGTGTTTTGCTTACAATTGCAATACAGACGATGGGATGTTAACGTAACCCAGATTTAAATGTGTAAGTTTTGGGAAATATTCAAACACATTTTTTGTCCATTTGATAGTTAATGTATATTAAGTTTAAATGTGTTAATTGTTTGCAAGTATACAATGACTTATTGTATAAACCGGGAATTTCCAGACGTTTTAATTTTGTAAAACAATTGGCAAATGTTTTATTCATTTCAGTCAACATTATTTCGTCGTCGATATAATCGTATTTCAATTTAAATTTCTTAAGTTTTTGCAATTTTAGAAATAATTGTCGCAAATGTCGGGCAATCGATGCAATCAACGCGTCGTCGCAATAGTAATACTCTAATCGTAAGTCAATTAATGCCAGCATTTGTGACAAACCATTCATTAATATCTCCAAAGACTCGACACAATAATACTTATCAATATGAACCGGGGCTGGTTAGACCCTTTATACTAAATACTCATTACTTGTTATTTTCCCTATTATTCATATGATTGTATCAATTAGTATATTTCCATTCGCACTGTATAACTATTCTACTCAATAACTATTATAATTACTGTATACTTATAAGTCATAACATATTGTACATTAGGTCGACTTCGATTATATAAGACGCTCACAAACCATGTACTATAACCAGAGTCTATCTAGACTTCGAAGTGCTCACACTCTTAGAGCCTTCGCTCAATAAAACAGTTAACATTATAAACATGTGTCCATTCCTTCGTAAACTATAACAACATCAACACTTCGGTCGATAACTGTGGACCGCATATAACACCCCCGGTTCAAATAGTTATGTCCATTGATTTCAATGTATTTCTATAGTTAGTTACAAACAAATTCATTGCCTGTGTTTCCCATCCGTTATAATGCATACGTTATTTGCTAAGTCCAGTAAATATCGCCATATTATTGTCATCAAACATATCATGGTTATAGCTGTAATAATTTTTAACAAGTTGCAATTTATGTAATTCAGAACATAGTTTTAAATATGGCCATATATTATTATAATCAACATGTTGTATTGTTGCGATTGATGTTAATTGTTGAGCATACTTGTTGAAAAAAAATTCCTACATTTTAACACTAATGTATTTATTAAAATTAATGTTAATTTTTATTAATTTATGACAATCAATGGTACATTTTATTTATACAAAATAAAAATAATACCAATTTAAATGAGCAACTGCAATAAATGCCAACACAAAATGTTATTTGATTTAAATGCATATATTGTATAAACTAATAATTAATGCGATGGCAAACAATATATTCATTACATAACTTTAACCTATTTCTATGGCAATGTATGTTAAACCTATGGTTGTTTATTTGTAAAATAAGTTAACTAGCTCACTAGTGTTGTGTATTAATGATTAAAAGGCTATTTGAAGTTGGGGACTAAGTGACAGACAATGCCATAGTATAATTTATTAGTACAAAATCACATGTTAAGCCTACGAGTTTTTATTTGTGAAATGATTTAATGATTTGCAAAACTTGTGACGGATTCCCGTGCCTTTGAAGTGGTCAATAGCACACTATTGTTGTGTATTAATGATTAATTAGTGATATGAGCTAGGGGGTATGGTTGCAGCCAGTGTCATAGAATAATTTATTAGTAGACCAAAATCATATGTTAACCCTATGAGTGTTTATTTGTGAAATGATTTATTTATTTTCAAAACTTGTGACGGATTTCCGTGCCTTTGAGGTGGTCAATAGCACACTAATGTAGTGTATTAATGATTAAAAGGTGATCTGAGCTGGGCCCCATGTTGCAAACAATGCCATCGAATAATCTATTATTACACCAAAATCACATGTTAACCCTATGAGTGTTTATTTGTGAACTGATTTAATGAATTGCAAAACTTGTGACAGATTCCCGTGCCTTTGAAGTGGTCAATAGCACACTATTGTTGTGTATTAATAATAAAAAAAGTGACCTGAGCTAGGGTCACTGGTTGCAGACAATGCCATCGAATAATCTATTATTACACTAAAATCACCTGTTAACCCTATGGATGTTGATTTGTGAAATGATTAAATTAATTGCAAAACTTGTGACGGATTTCCGTGCCTTTGAAGTGGTCAATAGAACACTATTGTTGTGTATAAATGATTAAAAAGTGACCTGAGCTAGGGGTCCTGATAACAGACAGTGCCATAGTATAATTTATTAATTGATACAAATCTCATGTTAACCCTATGAGTGTTTATTTGTAAAATGATTAAATTAATTGCAAAACTTGTGACGGATTTCCGTGCCTTTGAAGTGGTCAATAGAACACTATTGTTGTGTATAAATGATTAAAAAGTGACCTGAGCTAGGGGTCCTGATAACAGACAGTGCCATAGTATAATTTATTATTACAACAAAATCACATGTTAACCCTATGGGTATACATTTGTGAAATGATTTAATTATTTACAAAACTTGTGACGGATTCCCGTGCCTTTGAAGTGGTCAATAGCACACTATTGTTGTTTATTAATGAGTAAAAAGTGATCTGAGCTAGGGGGTATGATTGCAGACAATGCCATAGTATAATTTATTGATTGATACAAATCACATGGTAAACCTATAGATGTATATTTGTAACATGAATTGACAATTTGCTAAAATTTGTGACGAACTCGGGTAACCGGGAAGTGGTCAATATCACACTATTGTTGTCTATTAATGATTAAGAGGTGATCTGAGCTAGGGGTTTTGCTGGCAAACAGTGACATAGTATAATTTATTGTTGGGTTCAAATGACATGTTAACTTTTATTTTTATAGAATATAAAATTTGATTTAATAAAATAAATAAATATTTATACCGAAAAATAAATTTGATATTTCAAACAATTGTTAACCTGCATGTTATAAACTGTAATGATTAAATATTGCTATAATAATCTAGAATAAAAGTATTTAAGTCATTATATTGTACATTATGGTCCATAATTTATGGATAAAATATTGCAAAGTTCTATTTAAGTAAATTTTCAACATATAATGCAACATAATTCAACATACAGTACAACACATTACTTTAAATCATAGCAATTACTCACTGCTGTAGTTCATAATGAATATAATAATTTTGTTCTTTTCGAGCCCATTAAGATACTATCATATAAAGTACTTTACTGTTACTTTACCATGTTAAGTACTTTACTGTTATACTGTATAAAGTACTTAACATGGTAATACTTTATAAATGTTAGGTGCAATATTAATACATACATTATATACTGATATGCTTAATACAGAAGTGACATAATAAAACAAATAAAAATTTCCATGCTACGATATTGATATTTTAACACTTATGGTACTTTTGAACTTAATTTATAACAATGCTTGATTTTTACCTAATTTATTTTGCGGTGGTCTATTATGAAATTAAATTGATTAAGTATATAAACTCCGAGAATATGCAACTATTACTGAAATGAATCCAAAGTTTAAATAAGGAACAAATAAAACGGTATATAAACAGAACATTTATTTCATTTAGTTTATAGAATAATTTATTCGCAAAATAATAAATATTTATTATTTAAAATGAAATTGTTATTAGTTTTGGTGTCGGCTATAGTTGTGGCCAACGCTCTGCCGCACAGCAGCCCTTCAAAAGAAGAGATTGAGAGCCAATGGCAACAATTTCTGGTAATAATTAAATAAAAGTTTTAATTATTATAATAATTGAAAATTAATTAAAATTTTATACATAATTAGATTGAATTCCGAAGCAATGAATTGCAATCATTTCAAGACTTGTCGGCGAGAAGACAGGTATTTGAGGCCAACTATCGGCTGATTGTTAAGCATAACTACGAGGCGGACAATGGGTTGCATTCATACCGAATGGGAGTCAATCAGTTCGCCGACGTGTCCGACGAGGAATACAGGCAACAATTGGGTGGTTTAGTGTTGCCAAACATTACCTCCACCTCAAGTCGTAGAGTGTCCACAAACGCCGCAATTCCCGACAGTATTGATTGGAAAGCGAAAGGCAAAGTCACCGGAGTTAAGGATCAAGCTAGTGTAAGTACACCATTTATACAATAATTTTAATTATGCATGTTGATTAGCAAAACAAAATATGAACTAGTATACGTAAAATTATTTTTTAACACAAATTCACATAAATATTCACTTAATTATGTAGATTAATAATGTATGTAGAATTATGTATTATTTTTTTAGTTCAAAATATCTACATTTTATAACTAGAAATATACAGTAAAATGTTAATTATAATTTTAAAAAAAAACTAACCACAATGATTCAATATTTAGTGCGCAGGCTGTTGGGCGTTCGCCACCACCGCCGGAATCGAGTCGCAGATAGCCATCAACGAAAACAAGTTGGTCACCCTATCCGAGGAGAACCTCATCGACTGTTCGCGACCCAAGCCGGGAGAACAGGGTAACAAGGGCTGTCAGGGGGGTATCATGTATTTCGCGTACCAGTATATCATCGCCAACGGGGGCATCGACTCCGAGTCGAGCTATCCGTACTCATCGGCGGTCGACACCGCACAACACCAGTGCGTTTACAAGTCGTCGGGAAAACAGGCGACTATCGAGGGCTTTGAGTTCATTCAGCCGCCGACTGCCAGCGAACAGCACTTGACTCAGTCCGTGGCCACTGTCGGCCCCATTTCGTGCAGTTACGCCGCGACCGACAATTTCCGTCTCTATAAGTCGGGCGTGTTTTCCGACGCCAGCTGTTCGTCCACTGCTGTCAACCACGCGGTGACTGTCGTGGGTTACGGTCGGGAAAATGGCACAGATTATTATCTGGTGAAGAACTCGTGGGGCACCGTTTGGGGTGATTAGGGTTATTTCAAATTGGCCCGCAATGCGGACAATATGTGCGGTATCGTCCACTTTTACAGCTGGCCCACCGGCTCTAAGCTCGCCTAATTAACCTGTGATTTACCTATACATTTAACTATGTAATAAATTTGTTAATTCTATATTTTTATGCAAAATTAAATAAATATTTTAAACAGCAATATTATCTTTTTATCATTATACTTTTAAAATGCCAATTTTAATAATTATGAACTTGGTTTTTGTGTTTTTACATTGTAGTTTTAATGACTATTAATTAATAATGATTATTATATTAACTAATTTTAACTAAAATTTACAAATGCAAATGTAAACAAAAATAATAATACTTAAACAAGATTAAAAACACACTGCTAATCACATCATGATAATATACCCAGTTGGCTCCAAAACAATTGAGCAGGCTAATGCAAATATAAAAGCACCATGCTACAACAGTACCAGAGCCAACGCTAGTAATAAGGTATTTGAGCAAGGTGGTGACTAATGCAAACATTGTCGCGTTTGGGGTGCCGGCAAGCGATCATGGTGATTAAATCGTGTAAATATTGAACACAGCCACAATACTCGTAGCATTTGGCCATGCTCAGTTACGAGCCGCCAGGCCATACGGGCATTGACACAATTTTGTGTGTAATAATCCATTTTAGCTTGTTTAATAGTATTGGCCAAAAATAGTAAAGTGTATGTCAAAAAATGCGGTAATGTTGTAATATTTTACCACAAAATCTGACCGACTCTGACCGACATGTAGTCATTGGTATTATGGCTAACGTTGTTATTAAAGTTCATATTATGATCAAAACCCAGACAATCCCCGGTTGATACAATGACCGCCACGTCATCGATATTTTGAGGTGACATTTTTTTGAACTTGTTTACTAATATTTTTATTTTAATTGACGTTGGTGAATTAAAATTTTTAATTAGTTTTAATATACAGTAGTTGGTAAAATTTAAATTATATTAACTATAAAATAATAGTTAATTTATTTGATTAATAAATGTGTTAATTCTCAATATATACGTTAACTTTAGGGTGAAAATTAATTAATTATAAAGGACATTACAACATGGTACAATATAAGAAATAAATATAATTGTCATAACAATTATCATACAAAGTGTAGGAAAACAAAATTTTATAACGACTATTATGCGCGAGTGTTATTATCGCTATTATTTAATTAAATATAATCTTCTTAATTACAAGTAAGTTGCAATAAATTACCTGGTTACAAAACAATTCATAAAAATATCCTAAAAATTCTTTTAGTAATTAATTTAATATTTTTAAAACTTGCTATCCTAAATGCAATAAAATCATAAACATAAAGGAGAATGTGATAGAGTCTATGTTAATTTGCCTAAAAAAATAATTTTTGTTTAACCCTCGAGAAAAAAGTTACTTTGATGGCATCGTGGGCGATGTTTTGTCCAAAGTTAATTTAATGCAATTTTCTTAATGATACTAAAATATGTTGAATTAAAATTCAAATGATAAAAGTTGGGACTACAACCCGGCCTCGAATTCGGCAAAAAAGGTCATTATTTTCGGTAAATATAAATATATTTTAAATTAACATATGATACATGAAATCAATGTAGAATTTAACGTAGAATCAGAATATGGCAATATCACATCAGTGAAATTAAAAGATTTTTTGTAATTTGTGTAAAACAACTAAAACTTATTAAAATAAGTTATTACACAATCACCGACAACACTACCACAACCCGACAATCACACACGACAACACTACCACAACCCCGTCCAGTAGTGTTAGTAAGACAACTAGTTAGTAATGTTAATAATGTTAGTAGTGTTAGTAAGTCAGCTAGTTAGTAAGTCAACTAGTTAGTAGTGTTAGTAATGTTAGTAGTGTTAGTAGT